AAATTGTTGCAAAAATAGCAAAAAAAAAAGTAGAGCATGTAGGGAAAGCTGTATTCTTTGGAAAAAATGTCTACGAAAATGGAAAACTAGAGAAATTTAAGACAGGCAAATACTAATAAAATAGTGGTGAGAAGCCTATGGTTTGTTGCATGAAATGAATGAGTGTTAAAAGAAACAAAAAAGAGGGTGAGTATAAGAATGTATTTCAGCCCACATTGGTACATGGAAGTAAAAGTTGGGTATGTCAGAAGAAATATGAAACTAAGTTGTAAAGGCAGCATTTAATAACTGTGCCTGGTGAAGCAAGAAAAGATATAGTCAAGAATGAATCTATGTTGGATCACTGAAGACAAAAAGAGTAACCAGTACAAAGGAAATTAAAAACCTCTCTGTCTTCTGTCTATCTGTCATTGTAATCAGCCATAATTTGCTAGGATTCTGGATAATTAATAAATGTAATGCATGACATAGAACATTCATGGAAATCTAAATATAATATCCATACATTTATATCCTCTGAAACAAATGAAAACCAATAAAACAGAAATCTAGAGAGCATCCGCTCAATCCACAATAGCTGTTTAGAAGAATTGCATCTTACAGTGTCTCCCAAAATCAATACATCAAGTAGGCCAACCTGTACTCATCTGGTAGACTGTTCCAAAAGTCTTCCACTTCTCAGTTCCTCAGGCCCCTTACTTCACAGAAGAGTGTCCTACTAACAGCTTCTTCCAGGATACTTAAATCTGCTAGTGAATTCCAGTTGCAGAATGCAGTTCGCACTAACATTGGATAACCTTTGAATTGTAAACAAATATATAAAGGATGAGTAAATGTTCAAAAGGAAGGGGAAATCCAGAATAACCATGTTTGGATGGAGTAGAAGAGCCTCAATAAAAAAGAGAAGTGAGAAGTTGAAAATCAAAACAGTGCATGGACATGATGAAACAATGATGTTTTGCAAGATAGAAAGGTATAGAGAAGTATAGTGAACGCTGTTGACGTGAGCTATTTCCTTTTCTTCTCATATCTCATATGTTTTGCTTCCTTTGCTTATTATTTCTTGTCCCTTTTATGTGCTTTGCATAATGTTGGTTATCACAAAAATAATAGCAGGATGGGTATGTATGTTAGTCTTGGAGAAGTTCCCCCTTAGAGCACTTTGTCAAGATTTCTCTCAACATTTGGATCAAGATTTCCTTTCTTCTGTAGGCATCCTCTCCCTTATCAAAAAATAATGTGTTAAAAAAATAATGACTGTATACAACATGTACTTGTCAGAAAAAAATCTACCTGTTTAAATTATGCTTCATCATATTTAAGATGTATATATGTGTAACTAAGCAATCACAAATTTGTTCTGGACAAAAATTTCACCATTTAAAAATATTCTTTCTAAATTCTAGGTATTTATCATTTCGTTCAATGTTCTATTACTTAATAATTCTGAAAGTTACACTTTCAATTAGTCTTGTTTTTAAAACTCTCTAACACAAAAGTGCTTTTTCAAAAGGCAACTGGACTTCTTTTGTTTTTCCTTGAAGACATTTCACTTCGCGTCCAAGAAGCTTCTTCAGTTCTGACTGAGGTGAACGTGAAGAAGCTTCTTGGATGAGAAGCAAAACATCTTCAAGGAAAAACAAAGGAAGTCCAGTTGCCTTTTGAAAAAACACCTTTGGGACAACCATCACCTGGATGACTGAGAATCTCCATAGATATGTCTATCTTTATGAAGCAAAAGATGAGGGTTTTCTGAGTAGTTGTTATATTTATATCTATATCTATATATTATATCTATATCTATTAGGAGCTCAAGATGACATACATAGGAGGACTGTCTCAATTATTCTCCACAACAACCACACTGTGAGAAAGTTTGGGAGGAGGTAGCGTGACTAGTCCGGGTTGCCCACTGAATCTCCCTAGCTGAGAGCATATTTGAACCCTGACCTTCCCATTGTCACTCCAAGACGTAACTGCAGTATCATACTGACATAGTTAAATAATTTTATGGCTGTAACACTATATAGTACAGCATTAAATGAAAACAGAAATGAATACACACACACACAAATATATATATACATACATACACATATATACATACATATATTTGTGTGTGTGTGTATTCATTTCTATTTTCAATTAATACTGTACTATATAGTGTTACAGCGATAAAATTATTTAATTATGTCAGTATGATATTGCAGTTATCACATACATGAATCTATGTTGCCTGGAGATAGCCCTAGATTGGGCTGATACAGGCAAAAGATTTCTTCTTCCCATATTTGGGCCAACAGGGTCATAAAAAACACTCAAGACACACACACACACATAAACACACGCACACACATATAATTCTTTAAGCTTTTTAAATAATACCATATTAATGATGTTATTTGTATTATATAAACATTCCTGCGTTGAAATCTGCATTGAAGTAATGTAATATACTATTAGTATTTACAGTATCACAATAAAAAGAGAAAAACCCCACAAACCTGTATCAGCTATTAGTATGCAGAGTAGATGTTTTTTTTCTTCATTTCATTTTTTTTCTTTTCAAGGAGAAGAGAGGAGAGGAAAAAAAGTGCTGATGTTTCATAGTTTCTGTTTCAATTATGCTTTGTTTTGTTATAAAGTTTCTGGAGGCAAATGTATTTAGCCAGTTTGAACGCAAACATGTGTGTGTGTGTGTGTGTGTGTGTGTGTGTGTGTGTGTGTGTGTGTGTGTATATATATATATATATTTGCTCCTCAAAGCATGAAGCTGAAAACACCAGCCTGAAGATGACGAATGGGACTTTGTCAAAACGTCGCACACCTTGATCCACAAAAAATGTCTTTTATGTACCCTGACTTACAACCTAAATGTTGGAGATGTGGTTGTATGGATGCTACTTATTATCATATTTGGTGGTCGTGCAGAGAGATAAAAGCATTCTGGATTAAGATATGGTGGAATATCCAGAGAATTTTTAAAAGGAGGGTAAAATTTACTCCACAATTATTTTTGTTAGGTATAGTTACTGATTGTGACACAAAGGAGGTTATATTGATGTTAAACTTGATAACAGCTGCGAGGCTGTTAGTAGGACAATATTGGAAGAAGGAATCTTTGCCTACATTGCAGGAATGGTTTCTTAAAGTGTCTCATTTGGCGGAAATGGCAAAGATTTCGGCTTTCTTAAAGGGACAAACGCAAGAGAAATTTCTTGCTGTTTGGGATAAATGGATAAAATTCATACAATTTAAATTTGATATAAAAAAATATTATATAGTTTTTTCATAATTTTTAACTTTATATATATATATATATATTCTATTTTATATTCTTTTTTTATAATTTTTTTTTAACTTTTTCTTTAATTAAGCCTATATTCTGCTCTGGGAGGTCCTGGGGGGGGAAGGGGGGGTTTGGGTAGGGGTGGGGGAAGGGGGGTTTTGTTGGGTAATGTTTGTTTTTTATTTGTATATGTTGTTTTTTGTTTTTGTATTGTTTTTTATTTTTCTAATAAAGAACTTGAGGAATGTTGCTAAGAAACGTCGCCAAGACACTTCCAATTTTACACGGAAGAAAACCCGAATAACCAAAGACCTATATATATATATAGGAAGTGTCTTGGCGACATTTCGACGAAGTCCCATTCAGCATCTTCAGGCTGGTGCTTTCGGCTTTGCACTTCTAGGAGCAGTGTGTGATCATAGCTGTTTCTTCACTTTAACTGCCAGTGGGGGTATGAACTGATTGGGTGGGAGCCTGGCTGTGTTCTGATTGGGTGGAAGTGTGTTCTGATTGGTTAGGGGCTTGGCTGTGCTCTGATTGGATGGGGGGGTTGACTGTGCTCTGATTGGATGGGGGAGTGTTCTGTTTGGGTGGGGGCTTTGTTGTGCTCAGGTTAGTCTGAGTTACAAGGGGATTTAAGATGGTGAGCTGCATTGCTGTTGTTTGGCTTCATGTTCATGGTTGTGCCTCATCTTCATGGTGGGTGTCAGTTTGCTTCATGTATGAATTGGAGGGGTTTAAAGTGGCTAATGATGCAGCTGTGGTCTGGCTTCTGGTTTGTGATCGTGCCTCATCATTGGTGTGGGTTTGGGTTTACTTTTTGCGTGGATGTGTGGTGGTGACATCCTGTGTGATTTTCATGAGTGTGCGTCTGGTGTCATTCTTTGTGTTAGGGACTCATTTGTCAACAAGGGCAGGTTTCCAAATGGCTGGTAAGCGGGAGGTATCATCTCGTTTATTCATGCTGTGTGGGCATTTTTCTATCTCGATGGCTTCTCTGATTATTCTGTTATTAATGTGTTCAGTTTTGGCAATAGTTCTGGTCTTTTTAAAGTCAATTTCATGTCCTGTGGCTTTAAGGTGCTGGACCAGGGAAGAAGTTGGTTCCTCTTTTTTGACTGAGTTCTTGTGTTCTTCAATGCGTGCACTTATTCTTCTGTTGGTTTGTCCAATGTAAGTGGTGGGGCAAGCCGTGCATGGGATTTCATATACTCCTTGATTTTCTAACTCGATCCCTCTGCAACTCAGACTAATCTGAGCACAACAAAGCCCCCACCCAAACAGAACACTCCCCCAGCCAGTCAGAGCACAGCCAACCCCCCAACCAATCAGAGCACAGCCAAGCCCCTAACCAATCAGAACACACCTCCACCCAATCAGAACACAGCCAAGCTCCCACCCAATCAGTTCATACCCCCACTGGCAGTTAAAAGGAAGAAACAGCTACGATTACACATTGCTTCTAGAAGCACGAAGCCGAAAACACCAGCCTGAAGATGACGAATGGGACTTCATCGAAACATCCCCAAGACACTTCCAATTTTACGCGGGAGAAAACCCGAATAACCAAAGACCTACATACAAACACCCGCGAAAACTCAAAATTAACATGCCCAGTTTTGGAAGAAAACAAAATCAGTCTTAGGACAGATACTTCTTGTTGAGACTACTGACCATATGCTTTGTCTCTTTCTCTGCTTTTTTTTTCTAGCTCTGTTTCTGCCTGAGGTACACACCTCCTCCCTTGGATCCCAAAAACAAGGGGAAAGATCCATGAGTTATCTGTCAACATTATGTTTAAACAGCTCTTATAATTATTTCCTTCCCTTCAAGAATATAGTTCCCATGGACTACAATGAGAAAAGGAGTAAAAAAGAAAGGAATCTCTAAACATCTGATTCAGTTTAGCAATGTGGGAAATATGCTTGACAAACTGGAAACTAAGAACAGCTTTACACATATTACTTTACTGACTTTGCATAGTTATAGCACTGGGCTACCCACCCCTAAATCAAGTCATTCTTTTCTACACCCTGAAATCTGGAGCAAACATTTAAACACAGGGCCGTCTTTTAATTCAAAACACAAGGCTCATTTCTGCATGCAAGACAATCCAAAAACAGTGAAGGAAAGAATAGTTTGCAGGAGATAATTGAATGACCAAGGTAGAAAAACAGAAGACAACGTATAAAAATGAATTAATTATGAGTATTTAACATCTGATATACTATGGGCAGGCAATATATGGTCATTTTTTTCTACCACCTGGTGCATGCTAATTTACCAATGGTCTAATTGTAGCTAAATAGTTAACTTCTACCTTCTACAGAAGGTGCAGGGAATGGGCTATGGAAGAGCAGGTGGCATTTATGTCCATTTGTTTCTGCATGTTTGGATGTAAATTGTGCCTGTTTCTCAACTGGATGGTGCTTTATACAGCACTCATATACTAATCACTTCTCAATTGGATTATTGAAATGGACTCTACGTGGCCACTCTTGAAGAGGACTCAGAAACTATAGCTAATCCCAAATGCACTAACTCAAACAGTAATAGGTATGTTATGGTTTGTGCACATGTCCCCAATGCTTCATAAACTTCAGTGATTTCCAGTTAGGGAAAATTATATTATCTAACTCATGCTATTTCAGAAACATGTTCCACGTTGTTCAGTGGATTTAATTCTGAGGAAATCTGCAATATCATTATGTGTGCAATTTGGTAAACAATATACTTCAGTTCTGTTTCTATGAGCAGGGTTTAAGTAGCTTCATTAGGAACAAGATAAAAGCTTAAATTTGGTTAATAGTTTGTGTGAAAAATATAATGACAGACTATGGATCTTTATTCAGAAACACAGAGAAATGCATTTGAAATAATTAAGATCTGCCACTCACTTTAGAGGAATGGTTGGTGAAATTGACAGAACCTGCCGACTTGTTTAATTAGAGAAAAGTCATTATTACAAAGTCCTCATGGACTTTTTGCATAAAAAAAAGAAAATGATTTTTTTAACTTATGGCTTTGATGATTAGAAAAGAAAAAGTTACAGAAAGAAATAGAATTATGAGTTTTAATTATAACTCCATGCATAACTTCTGAGAGGAAGATCAGAAGCCATTACTTTATATTTCTTTTCCTATAAATATTTTCTCCTTTTTTCAATCTCCTTTTTTCCTTTCTTTTATTTTTCATGTCTACTATATTTTTTTTCATTGAACATACTTGTTATTATACGTAAAATATTTTCGTAATTAAGATCTGCCAATAGAATTGCAGGCCAAGAAATGTAAAAGAGAGTATAAAAAGATAAAGCAGATACTTTATAATCAATATACACAAATACTCAATATTTTTGTGAGAACCAGAGAATGCTAAGGTTGAAAGAGTTGATGCCAAGTCCTCATTTGACAACTCAGAGGAGTATCAAAATCTAGTGCCCTCATACAATCTCTGCATGCATACAATCTCTTCTTTTTTTCTATTGAAAGTGTGCAGAAAAAAAAACATTCAAAATTGCCACAGCACTGAAAAAAGTGACTTACGACCATTTTTCACACTTACGACTGTTGCAGCATCCCCATGGCCACCTGGCCAAAATTCAGATGCTTGTTCATATTTATGACAGTTGCAGTGTCTTGGGATCACATGATCACCTTTTTGCAACCTTCTGACAAGCAAAGTCAATGGGGGAAGCCAGATTCACTTAACAGCAGTGTTACTAACTTAAGAACCGCAGCAATTCACTTAACAACTGTTGCAAGACAGTTCATAAAATGAGGCAAAACTCACTTAGCAACTGTGTCATTTAGGACAGAAATTTTGCGCTCAGTTATGATCCTAAGTCAAGGACCACCTATGGCAGTGGTGGCGAACCTATGGCACAGGTGCCAGAGGCAGCACTCAGTGTCCACTCTGTGGGCACGCACACCATCGCCCCAGCCCCACCACCCCCTCCTCACCAGCAGCCCCCCCGGATGGTTGCCCCGAGCGCAGCCTGCACGGAGCAGCACAGGCAAGAACATGGCAGCCGGGCAGTGGGGCAAGACTCTGCTCTCACACCTCATTGCGTACAGATGATGCTGCGGGGTGCGGACAGAGGGTGTGGCTGCCATGACGCTGCTGGGCCGCCTTGGCGATCTGCTGTGGTGGGCCATGGAGTTGGTGGGTGGTCCTGCGGGCAGGAAAGGCGGTTTTGGGGGAGGGGCAAGGCGGTTTTGGGGCGCTCGGTCTCTAAAAGGTTCGCCATCACTGACCTATGGTCTTCTATGAATTACTAGAATGATTCTGCTTATCCAGACAGATCCTTCTAGGTAGAAAGGAGTATAAAGGACTCCCTAATTTGGTGAAATCTTATTCAACCAATAAAATCTAATGAGTCCTGCTATGTTTTCATTCCTGGCCTTGCAATTGGTTCCAGCAGCTAGGGTCCTTTATCTAGGTCAGGGGTAGGCAACCTTGGCTCTTTTATGACTCATGGACTTCAACTCCCAGAATTCCTGAGCCAGCATGGTTCAGCATGGAAACCTCACCCTTTCCCCTTAGCATAGCTGGCTCAGGAATTCTGGGAGTTGAAGTCCACGAGTCATAAAAGAGCCAAGGTTGCCTACCCCTGGCCTAGGTCTTCCTTCTGCTTTGTTCTTTGATCTTGATTGTTCCTTGATTGGAAACTAAATCTCACCCCCTCCGGCTCCAAGCCCAAATTCCTAATCCTCTCTTGATAATTGTGCACAGAATGCAGTTGTGACACAGCATGGCCTTTTCAATAGAGCTTCTCCTTTTGCTGAAAGAGAACAGAATAGCTGCTCTTAGAGGACACGTGAGAGAAAACTAGAAATCAAATGGGACTAGTCTTTCAACAGAGTTGACTGTTTTCCATCATTTGCTACTGCTGCCAAATGGAAAGTGTTCGTGATGAATAATAGTTCTGAGCACCAGACCATATAACTGAGCAAGTATCTCAAATTATGAGTCAAGCCACAAGGGTATATGACAGCACCTTGAGAGTGGGAAAGTAAGAGTCCAGAATGAAGATTAAAAGGAAGTTAGTGGGTGTGACAGAATTATTATTTTGCTATCGCAGCACATAAAACAAGCAGGAATTTCATGAAATCACCAGTGACAAATTTGGATCACAGAATAAAAAAAACGCCCTTTGGAATGTGGCTTTCTAAGAAGTCAGCTATTTAATCTGGTGCCTAATGAAGTCCAGTCATTTCTCTTACGACACTTGATTTTTCTTTCTAAGCCTCTTGTTGAGGTTGAAGTTTGATGAACCCAAATTAACTCTGCCAAAACCACTAATGCCAACTTTCATATCCAATTCTGGAGGGAAAATACTACTTGTCTCATCCAATTCAGGTTAAAGAAGCCATAAATAGCTTCAGGTTTCTTAGGTGCATCCTGAAGATATAAACTTTACCGATCTATCATTTAGATTCTTGAAATGTCTACTTAATAGCAAACAGAGGTCTTTCTTTGCAGGACCCACAAATAAATCTTTGGGGAGACTGCGGTTATAGGATGCTTTAATCTCACAATCCAACATATTCTGAAGTCAAGAAATTTTACAAAAGAAACAGTGAGCTCTAAAAAAAGCTGTTTTTTTAAAAAAAAGAAAAAACTTCATGTAATAATGTAAAGTATCAGAAAATACAGATTGATAAGGAAATAGTACATGCTTATGCACGAATGCTAAATTAATACAGACCACAAGAATGTTCACTTCTAAATATCTATATGTTTAAAATAAGCAAGTTATTACTATAAAACTCAAATTGTGACTCTTCACATCCAAAAGTAGCTAATACCGTGAAAGATGTCTTGAATTTCTTTTTTTTCAAATAATTTTATTAAAAATTATAAATGAAAAGAATAAAAGTAAACACAAACTACAAAAATTACAAACATAAAAATGCAAAAAAAAGAAAAAAGAAAAATTGGGTGTGAAAAAGAAAAAAGGAAAGAAAAAAGAGAAAGAAAGAAAGAAAGAAAGAAAGAAAGAAAGAAAGAAAGAAAGAAAGAAAGAAAAGAGAGAGAGACAGACAGACAGACAGACAGACAGAGACAGAGAGAGAAAAAGAGAAAGCAACTTCTTTTAGCCCAGCAGGTAAAAACAATGTTAGTAGTTTATTACTATCTCTAAATAAAATATAATATCTCTTCTCCTTATAGCTCATTTCTTAGATAAACTCTTACTTATAAAAAAGGTCAAATGCTATACAATCAATCTTTGCCAGTAATAGTCCAGTAAGGGAAACAGATATAACTATTTTCTTCTTTTAAGCCTGATCAAACAAGCCAATCTTATAAACCTTCTCTAAATTTTCGAAATTCTTTAAGCTGTTAAAAAAAAAGTCTCAGAGGTAATTTGCCGATGTTGCCTTTCAAAGCAAAAACCCGTCAGATCTTTACAGATTTCTTTTGTATCAATAAGTAAAATTTACCCCTTTGTCATTTCAAAAAATGTCCTTAGCAGAACTATTTTGTCTATCCAGAAGGGGGGAAAATAGCTAAATCAGTTTTCTGGTGTAATATTTATTCATCCATGTAAGGTATAAGTAAAGTATCAGTATCGATTTGTACTACATTTGAAACCCCCTTCTCATTAATTTCATAGACATCCATTGCAGTTTGTTCCTATTTTGCAGCTTCATTAGAATATGTTTTGTCAATTTGATAAAGCATTTGATCCATTCTGTCCAAAAATCTGAATGATTTCTTTTCCGTTGTTTTCCCCTGACTATAGTGTCAAATCTTCAAAGTCTCCTTATCATTAAAAAAAAAAAAAAGCAATATCCATTTTCCAATGCAAAAATATCT